TGATAGCATGACTGTGGATAAAAAAGATACATCAATAAAATATAAAAATATATACGGGATATAACGGGTCATGGATGTACCCAGAGAGAATTTGGCTCTGATACCATATTAGAATATGAAATTGAAATTCTCTATTTCAATCATAAAAATACGTACATATTTATAATGATATACAACTCGTCTAAATAAGACAAAAATCCTATAAATCTCTTAAATAAGATAACTATCATAAATATAATATATTACTTCTAAATATATTTTAACAGAATATATTTCATTTTCTAAGTCACACCATCAAGAACACGGTCTTGACATTTATTTGATGAATCTTCAAATTGTGCATGATAGAAATCTTGAGAAGCACCGTAATTGAGGTAATCTCATACACAGGAAAATATGTTATCTCCCTGATTTTATTTAAAACCCTTGACAACCAAATAAGTCTTAAAATTTTTGACCGAACTAATGGCTTGATATTTTCTTTTAGGATCCACTTATATTATAGGGACTTACAATGCTTTGGGTGATAAGTCAAGATTAAAATACAATTTTTGATAATCGAATCATATTTGTTATTTATCTCTTCTTGCTAGAATTTAACATCTAGTTTAAAAAATGATTCTTTTAGTGCATTCCGCTCTAATTTCTACACTCTACAACTACAACAATGGGTGAATGAGAGAATGAAGCACGAGGTATAGAATAATACAAATAAAACTGATATTCATAGTCGATAGGATGACAATTAATTGGTTACAACTTTCGTACCCGTCGTGGAAATTACATTTTTCTATCCCTAATTATTTCTTTAAGGTTGTTTTCAGCATTGATTTTTCTCTTGGGTTTCACTTCAAGAGTAAAACTGCACTAAGAGGTGAAATCTTTGTCATGAGTTTGAGTAGAATTACATAACCATGAAAATGTTTGCTCAGTAGGCTCGATCATTAATAACTCCACTCCAATTGTTGAATTTCATTTACCAAAATTGTCTTCTTCATTAACGAACTGTTTAGGGAAGAGGTTTGGTAGACATCAAATTGCGTGCTTATGGATGTGCTTATTCCAATCTCATTTTATAGTGAAACTTCATACTCCGTACGCCCCGGGTGAATGTATTTTTTTGGGATTCTGTAATAGATTAAGAAATAATAATATTTTATTAGTTAGTGAAAGTGTATAAGAGGTTTTGACAATTTTATCCTTTCACTTATGTATAAAGTAATTGTATGTATAATGTTATATCTATCATTTAAGTAAAAGTTATAGATATTTTGGTATTAGTGTATGCTTATTTTTACTAAAATAAGAAATAGATACGTTTGAGTGAGACAGACAAAAATGATAAAATTTATACTTTGAATTAGGACAAATAGAATACTTTTTTTTTAGTTTTTGCATACAAATTTCATTTTTGGTCTCTATAATCATATCAAGTGATATATAATGATAATATATACTATAAATGAGATATTGTGATAATTTAAGCATATTCTAAAATTAAAGTCTATATTCTTTTACACCTTGAAGATACACCCTAGACATCTTTAGATTTAAGGGATATTTGATAATTAAGTATTATCTATTAGATGTTAGATTATTTGATCAAGTGTCAACTTTTTATATTGTTTGTCATAGTGGATCATTACAAAATGACATAAAAATGTTTTATCTCTTCTAGGTAATTGTTTTTTATTTGGAATTTTTGGTTATTTGTTATTAATATGTCTAAGTTTTTTATGCCATAATATAGTTTTGAAATGTGGGCAATTTTTTCAATTTTCAAATATCAAAACAAGTTGTGCATTATTTTTTCAACTTAAACAATAATCAAATATCATTCTAAAATTTCTTTAATTTGATTTTTCCACTTTTTTTAAATTTCATTTCGTTTAGAAATTTGAGCATAATCCCTAGCATAATTTTATTTTCCACTTTTCTTCAAATTTGAGCGTAATACTTAGCCACAAGGCGCGCCTTGAAGTGAGCAATAGAACCATAAAAGTTAAACTTAACTGTAAAGATCCCCGGAAACTAATGAATTGTTTCCCTTCCCGTCCGATGAATCATTCCAGTGTATTCATCTCAATCGTAGAAGCACGCCAACCAGAATGAGATAAGGCCTTGGAAAGAGACTTATAGAGTCAAGAGTGGAAACAAACAAATAAGATCTATACGATAAATGGTCACTAAAAATAACAGAGACAATGGAATAGACATACTAATGTTTATCTTTATGAATAGCAATAAGGATTTCCTTAGGAGCTTCGGGAGGTATGGGTGGAGAATTAAATAACTCTAATGGAGGATCAGGAACCATGGGCGAAAAATAAATTGGTGGAGAACATGGCAAAGAGAGTTTGGGACGACGAAAGTAAATATGCATAAAAAAGGATAGTCTTATATGGCGCTTGAGGCTGAGGCACTGTATAACTTAACTAGTCATCATCTGGAAGGGATGTAGGGGTATTAGAGACAAAGGAAAAACTTATGGACTCAAAGAAGACGGCCTTAGAAGATAAGGTAGCGATTAAAATCTGGATAGTAACATTGATAACCCTTTTGAACCCGAGAGTAAAAAGGACATCTATGAGACTTAGGATCCAGTTTAGTAATATGTGGCCCAACATCCCGAACATAAATGGACACCTAAAGATTTTGGAAGAAAGGGGAAACAAAGACTTTAACGGAAAGAGAGTTTGATAAGGCGTCTTACCCCTTAAGATTGATTATAACAGACAATTAATCAAGAAACATGCTGTTGAAACACCATCTAGCCAAAGCATCTCACAAACCTTTTATTTTAAACAACAAATGTTGCAACTATCTTCAATAGTATGCTTTTACTTTATTTTTCCCTTAATAAGTCATCAAATTTGGTGCTTTTTATCCCTAGTTGCTACGGGGAATAAATAAGGAAATACAATTGATTCCTTCATTCAAGTGGTTATCGCTTCTCTTTGTTCCTGTTCCTAACTCTTCCCTGACTAGTTCCCAATGTTTGGCACTTTTCATACTTTATGGGTGTAACATCAAAGCACAAATAGTTTGAAGGAGATTCTGGTTCTTGCATTCAGCTATCCTATTCTAAAAATGTGTATCAACACACAATGACTGATAAAGTATACCATGCTAACACATATATTGATTGAATTGATTAGAAAAGTATTCTCTTTGGAATTCTCGTTACATAAGCAACGACTTGAACATTAAACTAAGTTTTTAATTTCAGCACAAAAGGAAAAAAAAATGAGAAAAGACTCTAATACTATATTTCATAAAATATACCCATATTATTGAAGAAAAGTCATCAACAAAAATTTAAATATATATATATATATGTACAGAAAACCCAGTTTTGACACTACGGGACAAGGACCTCAGACATTGGAGTGCACTAATCCAAAATGACTACTTTTCTTTTTATTTGATCATGAAATAGACTGCTAGCCGATGAAGCTTAGCAAACTGACATGATTCACATTCTAAAGATTTGACGTAAGCAAACTCAGGATGTAACTATTTCAACAAGGACAAAGATGGCTAATCAAGTCAGAAATGAACTTTAAAGGAAGTCCGAGTACCAGAACATGCAACGTAAGACTTAGGCTCGGTAGATATAGAGGGATATCAAGGATATAGAGCCCCATGACGTGTGTCCAATATCAATACTCCTTTTCGTTGCTACGAGTATTAGTTAATTTGCTAATAGAGATCAAATTAAATGCAAAACCAAGTATATGTAACACAGAATGTAACATAAGATATGGTGTAGAATTAGCAACACCAACTCCAATAACCTGTGCATTCGAATCATCCCAAGGGTACCAGATGACTTACTAGAATAAATAGAGAATAAAAGGCTCAAGTTACCTGTCATATAGTCGGTTACTCCAATATCAATGACTCACTTGAAACTAGAGGAAATGAGACACTTACCTAATTCAGTTGTTGCACTGATTGGCTGAGATGAGTTAACCGAATTGCCTAAGACACATTGAGCAGAGAATACTGATTTGCAGGAGTAGTAACTAGCCGAGGCCGATGATTATCAGTGGTAGTCATACTTACAATATGAATTTTTTGATTTCGATTCTTTAACTTCTTGCAGAACCTTTTAGTATCTTGTGGGTTACCTCCAGATTGACGAGTCACGCTGACCCACCAATGTATGCATGGAGTAGGAAAAGTATTGTCCATACCACTAAAACATTGTAGGCGACGAATGATTGAGGAACATTAAGTAATTGAGAACTGATATTATCACCACGAGAATGCAAGCCAACCAAAATACTCATCACCACCACATCTGGACTAAAGAGCATTAGCATATTTAACTTCTCATAAGTTATTTCAAAACTCATGAAATATGTTTGAAGCCATTGATAGACGCGAGAGACGTAACCTGCGAGAGACGTCACCTTCCCGAGTTTAGATCAATCATCATAATATACATCAGTAACCAGTGGAGGATCCTCATTCAAATGAGTAGCTTAACAGATCAAGATAATTTGACCAATTTAATTTGTATTCAGTAATTTTGGAAATAATGGGTATTCCATCCATCACAATCTTCTTTGTTTCTCCTAAATCTATTTTTCCTTTTTTTTTTTAATCTCCCATTATATATAAAATAACTAGCACAAAAAGGCCTAACTAAAGGAAGAGATAAACACCCTCTAGTACATAACAGAAGTTGAGAACACACCCTGTAGAACATAATCTGAGAAACACAGCTTAACATAACATAATTCCCACCAGGCATTACAAAATCTGAAAAACACCTAAGGGAGAAACATAATCTGAGAAACTACCCCCAGAGGAAGTACCGGCAGCATCAGCAGCCGCACTGACTCGAACAACCGAATTAACAAAATCAAATCCCCACCAAACATGCATAATTCCGGTAACTAATACTATGTATAGAACAAAATACACATTCTTCGACCAAAAAAAATCACATCCAATAAAAAATAAGTAGCCTTCAAACTCTCAACAGAACATGATCACAATCCATCATTAAAATTAATCAGAATCCAATCCACCATATGTAGACCAGAACTAAATAATAAAAGAAGAAAGCAAGCATATATAGATGTTGTCAACTTAGAAAGCATGCTATACCATCCTCCTCCTCATCCAACAACAGCATAGCAGTTCCTTCAACAGCAAATTATTGTACTTATTCAAAGTTCAAAACTTTTTCATAAGTTACAAATGTTTTTTACTCATAGCATCAAGCTATTATTATTATTATTCTTTTTTCTCTTAATTCCATTCCCAGAACACAAGGGCTGTGTGTTTTGCCGCGTCATTCAGGTGTAGTGCAGTGCCCTTGGTGCCCGAGAAAGCAAATGCATCCTTTCAAGTGTCGAGGGCAGTGACCTTACAGATTGGACATAGGTTCTTCAATGACAGCCACTGTTTGATGCAGTCAGTATGAAACTCGTGCCCACAATCCAAGATTCCAATGTCGTCGCCAGTAACATAGTCCTCCTGGTTCAGACAAGAAGAAGAGGCTCTCGGGTATAAGAATTTCTGAAAAAAATGAGAGATGAAAAATGATCGGTGAGGAAGGGGGAAATGGCTGTGACCTGGCATATGCAGCATGGCTCCAGGTTCGGTGAGACTCCTCTAGTGGCTCTGTGCTTTCTTCGTCTCATGGAGTTGCGTATCTTCTCCTCACTCAGTCCAGTGCTAACATTCCCAATCTGTTCTTCTAAATCCAGCAGTTCCTATCGAGAGAAATCGAATTTTTGTCAGATCAATATGCAATGTTTCTTCAATTTCGAAGGCTGATAGTTTAAAGATGGGAATGTTAAGATCACCTCGTAAGACATGTTGTCAACATCAAGCCTCATATCACTGTGTCTGTCATGCATCTCGGCAAATTCATCCATGAGTGTGTCAGCATACATATAGTCCTGGAAGAAATGTCAAGTCAATTCAGATGCATCAACCCTTTTCGAGTTGAAATAACACAGCTATAGTAGTGTTGGACAATTTTTTTTTTAACACGACATCAAACATAACAGGGTAAATTATATGACATCCTTTTGTATTTTAGTAAAAATGCATAAAACACCTTGTGTTTTATTCATTGTGTAAAACCCCCTTTTTGTTAATGTAAAGTTTGCACGAAACACACTTTTTCTCCAAAATTAATGTTTGGTTCTAAATAAAGACCTAAATTAAGTTTTATACAAATAAAAAATGTAAAATATTTTAAATAATTTTTTGAATAAAATAAAAATAAATAAATAATTGATCAATCATTTATTTTTATAGTTTTTGTAAAACACAGATAACAATTTATCTCCAAAAAACTATAAAAATGAAGGATTAACCAATTATTTATATATTTAATTCGAAAAAATTATTTAAGATGTTTTACGTTTTTTATTCGAATAAGACTTGTGTAATCTAGGTCTTTATTTAAACCAAACATTAATTTGGGACAATGAGGGTGTTTTGTGCAAACTTTATGTTAACATAAAGGATTTCAAGTAATAAATAAAATATAGGTTGTTTTATGCATTTTTACTAAAACACAAAGGAGTGTTATATAATTTAACCAACATAACAAACACAAAGTAAATATGATAGTATGATAAATAGTGCAAAGAATGCAAAGCCTATAGCGACAACCATGTAATGCTTCAGTTTCCATGCTGATCGGGTCAAATCACAATAAAGCAGCAGTGCATATTTGACAGCACGTAATAATACAATATACAACGCATACTTTGACAACATAACTTTGACAACATATGATATAATTTCACATAGCACAATAGATTATTGATTTTAGCACAACAAGTATATTTATACAACACATTACAATATATAAAATACACAGCAGAGCATTGTGTTGTGCTATATAAAAACATGAACTGTCCACCTTTGTTCTATGTATGGTGATTTGACCCAATCAGCACCTTATCTGCCGCCATTGGGCTATCAGCACAACATTATAACATGACGAGGGACTATATTGAAAAATTACTAAGTTATACTATTTAATTCATTGAAAATTATTTTAAGACTTACATTTAATGTGAAAAGTGGTATTAAGTTGTAAAACAAAGAAAATGAGTGTTTGCAAAATTTAGTCGATGATTGTAAATAGATCGTGTAATTACACTTAACCACCATCTAATTAGTACATAAGAAATGCACTAGAAGGATGCACCTTTCTAAACCAAGTTAACAAGTAGACTATTCAAACGAGGTTTTTTACAAAATCAGTGGGCAAAGATAACATCACCATACACATGCCTTCATCAACACTATTGTAAAACTGGCTTTGAGACAACTTACCAATTGGGTGGTTACATTATATCAAATAGAGCTTTAGACCTAAGACGGCGTAATCTCATTATATTTACACTATCTAGCTTGATAATGTGTACTTTTTAGTGGAGTCAGTACCAAAGTGCAACCATCATGGGTACATCTCAGGTGTAAATGATTGCAATGGTGAAATCGAATAGCACAAAGATAAACAACAAGAACCTGTTCTACACATCCTTCAACAATTTTGCCTCTATGCACCACAAGGAGCAAAGATGTGTGTCCGGTCAAAAAATCTGTAGGTTATATGATTAATTTGGCGTCTTAACATAGGATGCTACCGAGTCTATGCATGCACCTCTAGGTGCTAGAAAATCTCTCTCATGACATGACATCATGGTTCCATGAGTTTGACTATTTTCTAAGGCTCTTAATCGCATCAAATGAGCTAAGGACTTGCAAGTTATCACAAATACAAATCAAAAGGTTTAGATAGTCTATGGAGTAGATTAAAAAAATTGATGTTGACAACCAACATAATTCTTTTGTAATAAAATGATGCAAAGAGCTAGGTGTTATTCGTTCTAAGAATATGGTGCACTCTGTAATAATAGAATCAATTTCTTAGGATTTCAAAAAGAAAAATGATGTTCTCAAAATTACATCCTTGAGAGATGGGAGTGCTAACTTATGCAAAATGTTAAATTCATAAATTGTATGATATGAAGAAATCACTATGGTTAGAAAGATCATAAAAATGGTATTTGACTGATACTCTAACAAATACAGAAATGATTGATAGTTTAATATCGTTATATCTCACCCTTTCTAAGAAAAATAAATTAACTGCCAAAACAGACGCACTCATGAATTTCGGGAGGAGTTTACAAGGAAGCAAAACGGGAATGAAAAGTTAATATGTAGTTATATTTAAGAAGCTTTGTAAGGAAATCAAATGAAAATGAATATTTAACAGTCATGAATGATATTAAGTTATCTAATTTTTTTGACATATGCATATTTTCTTTCATAAAAATAAGGTTTAACAGAAACAAATAAGACTGGTGAGATGGAAAATATAGGGTGTGTTTTGTTGGCTTCCCAACCTAAGTTCCATTATGCTCCCAAATTTATTATTTTTACCAAAATATTACATTATATGGGATCCACCCAAAATTCATTCAATATCTTCTATTTTTATCTCTCTTCAATAAATAAATATACTTATATATACATTCAAAGCTTCATATTTATTTCTAAAATTAATTTATATTAATTATAAATAAATATTTTTATTTATTTATTTATTTGTACTATATAAAATTTTACTCTACAAAATGATATCTATATTATATATATTTTTTAAATATATAATTAGAAAAATAATTAAACACATTTTAAATATTTTTTAATCTCATATATATTACATCATAAAACAAATATTAATTAAATAGATCACTTTCAACCCAACTTTCAACTCAATAATCGAAGCAACCAAACACACCCCAAATTTTCATAGTAGAAGTTTAGGATTAAACATATTACAGGGCACAGGCAACCATAAATGTCTAGCAAATGATGCCGTATGACAGAAAGGCTCCCTAAGGCAATGGGTTAGTGCATCCTGGCCGCCCTAAAAAACGTACATAGCAAATATTCAAAGAACATAACGTGTTATAGAAATGTTAGTACTGAAACTTAATAACAAAATCATATGAACCCTAGTTAGCAAAATCGAGCGGAAAAAAAATAGTATAGTATGAAGATGTCTTGCAGGTGACGAGTTAGGGTTTACAGCATAAGGAATTATTTAATACAAATATGTAACTTAAGGATTATTTGTCTTTACCAAGAAGGCAAAGGGATGGAAAACATAAAGAACTTTTCTTCAAGAAGCAAATGTTAGTGGTTGAACTTCAAGTAATAAGATTAAAATAAATCTTTTGAAGAATCCACAACACTGCGGAAAATCATAGTCCACAGTCCACACATCATAGTATTAATCTAGTTCAGATTCTCAATTGGATCAAGCAGTTACTTTTAGAACTAAAATTTGTTAGTTATGTTGTTCTCATGTTAAAGTTTCAGTATCCCAAAGACGAAATAATTCTGTGATAATGAGGCTATGCTTCTAATCCATTACTCCATGAACACAGAGAACATATTGAGATCAACCGCCACTTCATCTGAGAAAATGTATTAATTAGAAGTATTACCACTAGCTATGTCTCTACTAATTATTCTCTTATAAGTCATCGTGTCAAGTATCCATATAACAAGCTTTGGGCATATAACTTATATGCTAAAGCTTGGGAAAATTCTTAGAATGTAGAGGGAGGCAAGTTTGGTGCATACGACTTATATAAGGGTTAAAACCCCACAGGGCTGATACATGTATATTGTGTTTGTACTTGTTTGTGTGTGAAAATTGAAACATTTAATGATTACAAAAATATAAGGAAACTAACTCAACCAATATAAGAAGCAATGATAGCGATTCGAAACAATTGTATATTTTCCCAAAAACTCTTATGTTTTTTGAACTATTTTTCATAACAATTCATCAAAATTTCTCTTTCTAAAGATCATCGGATCCAAAACTTATTTTTCATTTAAAATTTTAAATAAAAAAATAATTAAAAAATATATAAATACTCTCTATTCAAAACATCATATCCAACTATTACATCAAAAACATATGGGCGTGTTCTTTATCAAATATACAAAATTTCTACTAACCCATTTTTTTTCTCCAAAAATATCAAATCAAATATCTATTTTTCATTTTTTTTATTATACTAAAAATCAATTTTACATCGAAAACATCACATCAAAACCTATTTATATCACATTATACAACTATTATAATTCAAATTTTTTACTATTCCAATCCCAAACCCACAAACAAACATACATTCTCTATTCAAAACACTACATCAAACACTTAGGATGTGTTCATTTGGCTATGTTTACTTCTTTTCTACTCTTCATAGATTTTTTTCTCCTAAAAACAACAAAAAATATCTATTTTTTTTATAAGTTTTAATTCAAAACATCACATAAAATCTTATTTATATTTATATCAAGCAACTCTTTAAATTCAAAATTTTACTATTCCAATCAAAAACCCAAAATCAAAACACCCAAACCAAACACACACACCCTTATTTATATCGCATCAACCACCTATTATCTATTCAACTTATTACTATTCTCAAACTTGCCCAAAATTCTAAAGCACTTTCGAAACATATCTAACCATGCCATATTGTTTCATTGATGAGTATAGACAAAGTACTAAAACAAACATAAATGCCCACAAGATATAATTACGACAAATGCAACGTTGAATTTCTAATCATAGCATAAAACTTAAACAAACCTCTGATGGTATGCGCACACCACCTCTTCGCACGACATTTAAAACTTGACGAATCTGTTCAAGAAACAGAAAATGGTAAAGCAAAATAAGGCAATTTCTTCATCAAACAGCTACTTTATTTCATTCTATGTAATACTAATAATAGTGCAGTACGATCATACAGAGTTGTGTAAAAGAAAATGTTAAAATTCCAATTAGCTGTGGCAACTTTTGACTCGGCCTGAAAATATGAACAGCAGATAATCTTACTTTGTACCATTAACTAAAATATGTCGACTCATCAAAGTTTAAAAGAAACAAATTCAGGTTTGGTGAACTAGCTACAATCAGGGTAGGATGCAAATCTCTTATCATATGCAGTCGTAGTCGGATCCTCAATCTGTTTCTAAACTCAATCACAATTTATTAGAGCAGCAAGCATTTTCCTGCAACCCATTGACCATACTAACATACTCACAAGATTTAAACAAGGGGAGCTTACCAATCTATTTCTGCCATCAACAGAAGTCATACCGCGCCAATCATTCAATTCATCACCAGGAATAGGCATCAAGAATGCTGCCGAATTTGAAGGCATTTGTTGTCGGAAAGGCTGATTTGAAGAAGCTGCCCTGTCGAATGAAGATGGAGAAGGAAAATGGGCATAAGGACTCCTAGGGAATGCAGGTGGAGATTCAGATTCAACGTTAGAGACAGAAATCCAAGGGGCAGATTCCAGTAATTGTTGATGATCATGTTGTGATGCCAGGCTTTGATAAGGTAACCAGGCTGCGGAAGAAGTTCGAAAACCCGAACTGACTCCAACCCGTGAACCTAACAAACGGTTTCTAGAAGAAGCAAATGTCGCAGGAGCAAAACTCCAGTCAATTTCATCCGGTGGGAAGTTCCTTGTCTCAGAGGCAGAAGCATCCATGAAATGCTCCACATCATTCCTACCGGAGATTCTCACATTTTGCTCCTGGTGAGCTCCCGAGCCTCTTTCTCGAGAAACTGCAAATGAACTCGATGAATTGTCACCTCGTGAACCACAAGATCCATCCAAAGGGTATGAACGCACTCCTCTAGCTTCATCAACACGCATAAAAACCTGGTGGTTCATGTTGTTCTGATCCAATCTCATCTTCGAATAATCAGTATTTGGGGCAGGCGGCGACATTGGGGCGACGAAAACACCGAAATTCCTTGTAGAAGCATTTCCAGAAAGATCATATGGAGCCGGCCCATTCTGTCTGTGATCAAATCTTGTATAGAAATTTCGACCTGAGTTTTCAGATACTCCAGAAATGCTCGAAGAAAATTGTCCAGGGGATATTCTACTCATACCCATCCTGCCGTTAAAATTAGGCCCTTGCGGATGATTAATTGGAGTCACGCTCAGCCGGCTGGACGGTACATTTAAAGACCCTTGACCACCATTGTAATAATCCGGAACTGGATGTGTCATTACATTCTTTTCCTTTAGTTGGCTGGAGCTCGAACTCCCCCCACCAGGGTAATGTTGTCCAGTAGTTCCTTCATGAGCCTCTCTCTTACAAGCCAAACCCCACATACCAAAAGACGGACCTGAAGCACCATAGGCTTCAGGAAACACAAATCCACCTGCAGAAGCTCCCATATTACTAGAAGAGGTGTTTAATGGTGGGAACGGCTTTGTTTCTTCGGGCTTGCAGATGCTATGTGATAGACGGGATTCTAGACTATTGTAAGGATTGTATGCCATTACAAGCCTGTCATTTGAACTTGCCTTTGGGGAACCGAAGTTCGAGCTGCAATTATGTGTGCCAAGTAACATCCCACTTCGAGAGTAGCTTGTGGAGCTCATATTGGATGGTTCATGGGACCAATTCTCCGGCCTTCCATTGGAGGCAGGACGAGAATCGAAAGGCATTGCTGGCCAACCTATTCTCGTATTCCAATCGTCAGCAATTCCTTTATCTTGCACATTCATGGAACCAGAACTGGATTCGCCGCAATTCCAAACATTAAAACCCTGGCTGCAATTATTAGTAGCTGGGGATTTGGATTTCCAATCGGAGGCGTGCGCAAGCACCAAACTTGGTAAATGGTTTCCCATCGGATTCGACATGCTTTTTTCCCACGAGAACGACTGATCCATGGTTGATGTATTGCTAGGAAGGGAACCTTGGTTCAAGTCCATAGGTTCATTAAAGGAATCAAAGGAACCCCTTTCCTGTTGCATCTCCACCATTTAATGCTGGCAGTTAAGCAGAAAAGGAAACAGTTTCGCGCCCAACACCCGATGAGTTTCAGTACATCTGCACGGGATTAAGAAAGTTAGTTAAGCCAAATCAAAGCTCACATTTCAATTTTGAGCTCAAAAGCTTTGATAGGAGAAAAAATACACATATGCACATATATATATATATATATATTTATGTATGTACAGATAAGTTCTACATAAACACAAAGTTCATATACTCAATAATGTTTATCCACAAAAGATGATTACTTCCAATTGTTTTCATCATTAGAAATCTATAGAAGTGTCGAATTCTTCAAAGAAGACGACAAAATAGCTCAGCGTAGATTACGGAAACAACTTCGAGCACATCGCCGAAACAAATTCATCCAAAAAAGAAAAACTTAAATTCTAAAATTGAGTTTATCCAGACTCATACAAATAATGGTGATATTTTTACATAAACTCATCCAAAATAAAAGGAACCAAAATTGAATCATATCGTCCCAATTGCAATTGCAATTGCAGATCCTCTCGATCTTCATCTAGGGTGCTTCCAGCAAAAATAAACTAATCGGTACGAAATAAAACTTCAAAACGAAAAAAAAAACCTAAACAAAACCTGGCAGGCGATCGACAAACAAGATCGTTTGTGCGCGCGGTTCGGTCGGTCGGTGATTGAAGGATTTGAATCGTATCTTAACACTGGAATCGAAAGAAAAAAAGAGGCGAGGCGTTGGTTCCCAAGAACGAACTAAAATGAAACCAAAACGAAACGAGAATTGAATGGGAAAAAATCAAGGAGAAAGACCCTTGACGGAGACGGGATTAACGAAAGGGTGTGTGGTGTGGGTAGAGAACGGTTTCGCAATTCACATGGAAAATCGATTTTGATAATTTTGAGAAGAGAGAGATGGGGTTAAAATGCGGGCAGCCCAGCGAAGCAAGCCCGGCCCTGTAGCAGGAGATACAGCAAAAGGATCCGTACTGACTCACTGCACACAAAGATTTAATTAAGGATGAGAGAGAAAGACCGAATGCAGGGTCGCGTGGAGTCCAACGTCGTCTCCGTATTCCTCAACTTAATTAGGGTCTATTTTCTTAATTACGTATTTTCAAATTTTATTATTTAAATTTAGTATTTTTTAAAAATAGATGTCAGACATTTACCGAGATAAATTAGGTAATATGCCTTCGTATAAGGCATTTGATGTCCAGATGCATATCCAAACCGATGTCAAATATCATAAAGTATAGCATAGCGCAGTAAGAATACGATGAGGTATATTAATGGACGAGGAATAGTTATACAAATCTGCCCTGGTATTGTCATGTGTTACGCTAGTCTAGTCCAAACAATATTGTGGATTACAAAGTGGATGTAGAAACCCAACGTTTCCAATGCCTTTTTCTTATGGTATTTTATCTAACCCCACGTGTATTGCCTCAGCCTATTAGTAGTCCCATTTAATTTGACACACTACTCACCATCGATAAATTGTGATCGTTTGTTCTTATGATTTAATTTTGACCGTTTGATATGAACTAGATTGTGATATGTATATAAGTTGTTGCACGGTTGCTCTATAATTCTATATTTATTTTCTCTATCACGTTTTTTCTTTCAATTCGTCTTCTTTATCGTTTCGCTCTCTTAGATAGCTCAATAGGGTTTTACTGTGCGATTCTTCTACGAATTGTAATAAGTGAAGTTTATTAATATGGTAGATGAAAAATTAGTGTAGATCAGTGTTATAATTTTTTTCATTTTAATTAATTATAATTATAATTCACAATTATTTATATTATTCTTTAATTAATTTATTAATATTTTTTTAATTATTTATTAATAATACTCTTTTATATTCTTGTATCTCTAGAACAAAATGAGTAATACTCGCTACTTCTAGCTAATTTGTGTCATTTAATTTAAGCATAAAGTTTTAGGTATTATATAATTACTAAGTAATTAAGAACTATATTAATCAAAATAATTATATATTAAAATTAAAATAATAAATTAATTTAACTTAAATAAATAATTATAAATTATTAATTTTAAAATATTATTAAAGAATATAATTATATTTTTATAAAAAAAAAATTATGAAGAATAAATAAAAATAATAGACAGATTAACTGATACGGAAGGAATAAAAGTAAAATCAAACAAATAAATCCGGCGTTTGCTAAAGGAGATCCAGGATCTCCAACACCCAAATCCAAATGGTAGCCTTAACGGGACCTGGGATCCTAGCATCTTGCGAACAAATTTCCGACACGTGCTTGGAAAAGCCTACAGTAAAACCACATCCAGAATTGTCTTCATTCGTCGCACAGAAAACGAGAGAGAGAGAAAGGGGAAAAACAATAATAATAACAATGAGGAATCTTCAAAATCGACCTCTAATCTCTGTTCTTACCTCCTTAATTTCCCAGATTCTCCTCTTTCTTCTCCTCCTCCTCCCTTCCAATCCCTTCTCCCTCACCACTCCCAATCCCAATCCCAATTCCGCCGCCGCCCTGCCTCTTCTTCTCAACCACTTCCTCTCCACCGCCGCCGCGCTCTCCTTCCTCCGACGGAAACGCCGGCGGGATCCGCCGGGCAATGGCGGAGCCGCCGCGAAACGCTCCCGGCTGGAGGCGGTAGTCCCGAGAGCTCCCGACTCCTTCCGCCAGTTTTTCAGGATGAAGGCCTCCACCTTCGAGTGGCTCTGCGGCCTGCTCGAACCGCTTCTCGAGTGCCGCGACCCGGTCGAGTCGCCGCTCGATTTGCCGGCCGAGATTCGACTCGGAATCGGGCTGTTCCGGCTCGCCACCGGCGCCGATTACCCGGAGATAACCGGCCGGTTCGGAGTCTCCGAGCATGACTCAAGATTCTGCGTCAAACACCTCTGCCGCGTGCTCTGCACCAACTACCGGTTTTGGGTAGGGTTCCCGGGTCAGGCCGAGTTGGACTCGGTCTCGGCTCGGATCGAAACCCTAGCCGGAATCCCTAATTGCTGCGGATTCATCGCCTGCGCGCGCTTCGATTTCGACGGCGGCGACTCCGACCGAATCGCCGCCGCCGCCGTCGTCCGCCGCACCGTCGCCGCGCAGATTGTGGTGGATCCGTCGTCGCAAATCGCGAGCATCGCCGCCGGATTTCACGGCGGCAAGCCCGATTCGCAGATCCTAAAGTCGTCGTCTCTGTTCGCCGACGTATCGGAAAGCGTTCTCCTGAATTCGCCGGAGAAAATTGAATTGAACGGCGTTTCAATACCTCAGTATCTTCTCGGTAGCGCCTCGTACCCTCTCCTCCCATGGCTGATCGTTCCGTTCGCCGACCCCAAACCTGACTCGCCGGAGCAGAATTTCAACCGCCTGCATCGATCGCTTGGCGTTTCGTGGGCGAAGGCTGTGGCGAGTTTGAGGAATTGGGGAATTCTAAACGGCGGAGTGAGGATTGAGTATAAGAGCGCAGTTGCTTGCATCGGTGCCTGTTCTATTCTGCACAATATGTTGATAACAAGGGAGGATTACTCTGCTTTTTCTGATCGGTTCGTTGACGACGACGAGGACGGCGGTCGGAGTTTCGTTGAGGAATCGGTGGAATCGACGGCCGCCGGAGCGGAGGTAAGAAAGGCTTTGGCCATGGCGGCTAAACGAGGGTGAGTTGCGGCATTTGAAGATTATTAGCAATTTTGTGCTGTACATATAAAATTGAATTGATGAAGACGAGAGATCAATATTGCGAAGGATGCACAGATGATTGGTTTTTGTTATGGAATAAGTAGTGGTACATTACATAAGGCAGATTTGTGGATCGATTGGTTGTTGTAACAAAAATATACTGTCATTCATTTTTATTTGGAAGAAATTCTTTTCCTTTCTTATAAAATTTCGATATTATAATATTTTATTGTTCACGAAGTTTTAGAAATATTACTATTATATTTTAATGTAGTATTAATAAAATAGAAATGACTAAAATAACTTTATTAGTATGTATTATATAAATGTAATGACATTTGTGTAATATATTGTATGTTGTAAGGGTATTTATAATGTTACGTAGACAGTATAATTACTTTAAAAAAAATGAATACTTGTTATAGGAAAGACTAAAATAAAAAAAAAAATGAATAGTTATGGGACGAAGGGAAAATACTCTATCCATTTTAATTGAATATATCTTTTACTATTAAATTTTTTTATCCAATTCAAAATTATTATTTTTCTATTATAGTAAAAATGGTTATACATTACTATTAAGATATTTTAATTTTTATGAAAATTACAAATATACCATTATATATATAAAGCATAAAAAGTAAAAATATCAAAATTTACTTTACACAATTTTACTAATCAAGAAAATATTATTATTTTTTAAACTATTATAAAAATTCAGATAAATACTTTTATCGGGACAGAGTAGAGATGTCAATAGGGCGGGTTTGAGACAGGTTATGCCGGCTCCAGGACCCGTTCCGCTATAAAATATTAGGTCCCATAATCCACCCTGCTATAAAATATTAGGTTTCAATATCCGCCCCGCTCCACCCAGCTTAAGTTCGGCCCAAAATCCGCCCCACCCCCGAATCCTTCGGGTTCGATGCCAATCCGAAAAACACATTTATTTAAATAAAATATAATTTTTTTAATAATTTAATAAAAAATAAGTGTTCAAGTGCTAAAAAATTTTAATCTTAAAAATAAATACAATCAAATGTTTGCGATGGTTTGCAATGATGGCGGTCGAAGACAGACGGGGCAAAATTTTACAAGAATAATCAAATGTTGGTTGTTGTCCGCAGTGATGACGGTCGGCAACTGACTGGGCAACAATGGAAATCCTGATTGTGAAAAAAATTAAAAACAAACGCGAAAACAAATTTAATTTATAAATTACAGTTTTGGTTTATATTTAAATTTTTTTAAATAAGTATGTAATATAATTTCTATTATATAAATATATATATATTAATTCTAATAATTGGTAAAAATATTCGGGTTTGGGTCCGAGTCCGAGTCCGGAGTTGAACGGATTTTTAGTAAAATCCGAAACCTGTCCAGAATCCGGCCGAGTTTAAAATGTAAAATTCAAAACCCTCCTCGAAACATATTTTTTAGACCTAAATCCCCTCCATTAAGAACGAATCCGGGGCAAACTCGTCCCAGGAGTATGTATATTCAAATTAAGAAAATTTTTGATTTCTTATCAGGAGAGTAGAAAGATAAGTTATATCAACTACTCCATGAAAATTATGGGTCACTTTGGGTGATTTGATTTGTTTTTTATTTTATTACTTCCTCCGTCCCACGTGTCATATTCACATTGTCGTTTCTATCTGTCCCACATTCCATGTCACTTTCTTTTTTGAAAAAATAATTATACATTTTAATCTCATTTTAAACTTTTTAATTTATTTTTTTTAATATTAATTTATAATTATTTATATTATAAAATAATTATTTTCCCAAATAATACAGAATGAGGGAATATTATTTAAAGATTTTATTTTAAGTCGTCGTCACCCGCCACTGACACCGCTGCGCTAAGATCAATTTTCATTGGATTGGGGCCGATTGGGTATGTTATATTCTTGTAATTGTTATCGTACTCATCTTCTTTGTGGTTTTTATTTTTTATTTTATGATTTATAAATATACTTAAACTTATTTAATTAGGTCATGAGATTTATATATTTATTTTTTCTATGCCTCTCTTGGGTTATTTTATTTTTAATTTTTTAGGTGAAAATTTGTGATCAAAAATTTATTTAGATATATCTTAATTTACTTTCATTGTGATAGTATATCATTTTAATTTAATTAAAGTTAATTTGTAAGTTAATAAAATAGTTTTAATCAAAATATTTTGTTATTATTTAGATAAAACATAATATATATATATATATATTTGTTTTCTAAAACTCCTAAAATTTCAATTCAAATATTGAACGTCTAGTGCAAAGATATGATTGACAATAATAATGAAAAAAAATGAAGGAGCACGAGAAGTTGAGATTTCAAAATGATGATATTATCGCAGATTGCGTAAATTGATTGACAATTATCCTATTGGAGTTATAGATAAATTGAGAATAAGTTATTTGGTTAAGGGCTCTTGTCAACGTCGCGGTCATAATTTTTCTACTACAAAATTTGGTGAGATTCAAATATTATTTCATGATCAATGGTTTAAAACATATGATTGGTTAAATACAACATAATTAAAATATTGCATATTATTTATGGTGCTATTTGTTTTCTATTGAGCATAAGCATTGGGATACGACATTTAATGAAATTAGTTATAGGAATTGGAAGAAAACTAGATAAAAAATCTGTAGTTCTCAAGGATCAATAACTAAATTTCAAAATTTTGCTAGAACTATGTACGCTGGATATAAAGATCAAAGAAGCAATGTAGATGATGTTATGATGCAAAAAAAGTTCTGAAAATTGAGGATACTTATCCGACGCGATTGACCGTAGTTGTAAAAGTTATTCGATATATTTTAGGACAATGGTTAGCTTTCCGTGGTCATGGTAAGTTAGCACGATCTAGATACTGAGGGAATTTTCTTAAGCTTTACAAGTGATATGGTGATAACAATGACAAAGTTAAAAAGATAATTAATTTAAATGTCCTAGGAAATAACCAATTGACATCTCCGTATTTTCAAAAACAATTTATCAATACTTGTGGTTCAAAAGTGAGAAATTTTATTTTAGCAGACATTGAGGATAGATAGTTTTCTCTTTTAATTTATGAGGCTCGATATAGTTTTATTAAAGAACAAATGTCTTTAAATGTAAAATTTGTAATGATTTTGAAGAGGTTAATGAACAACTTTTTGGTGTTGTGCATGTTACCGACACTTTTGTACAATCTTTGAAAAATGTTATTGATGAAGTTTTTGTAAGAAATAGATTATCACTATTGATGATTAGCTGTCAATGTTATGATAGAGCTTTTAATATGCGTGAAGAGTTTAACGGGCTTAAAGTCTCATCTTGAAAGAAAATAGACATGCATATTATGTTGATTGTTTTGCGCATCAACTTCAATTAATTATTCTTTCTAGTATCACTCAAAGTGGACTCGTAAGCAATTTATTTGAATATCTCTATATGATTGTAAATATTGTTGGAACTTCGTGAAAAATAAGAAGTGAATTGAGACAACGCCAACTTGATGATCTTGTAAGACATGTAGAATTGAATAATATTGCTACAAGAAAGGGAATGAATCAATAAATGAATTTGGCTCGAGCCGATGATACTTGTTGGGATTCTCTTTTTAAAACAATCACTCAAATTTTTAATTTGTGAATCTAGTGAAACAAATTATTGAAATTATAGCTACAGATGACAGTGATGTGAAAAGTCGAGAACTTGCTATAGGGTTGTTTGACAAGATGAAGTTTTGAATTTGTATTTGTAGGTCAATTGATGAAACATCTATTAGCTAAAACAAATGCACTGTCACAAGCTCTTCAACAAAAGATTCAGAATATGAGTTTTGTTGTACAATTGATTGCAATTTTTAAAGATGAATCACAAAAATCTAAAAAAAGTGCTTGGGATGATTTTTGTAAGAAGTAACTAAGTTTTGTTCGGATCATAGAATTAATGTCCCCAATATGAATTATATTATTCCCGGACTGTTAAGAATGTTTGTTGATGTCCAATAAAAAACACACCTTTATTACTTTTGAGTGGATATTTTCATATAAGTAATTTATTATTTTTAGTTTATTGTGAAAATTATTGGAGTATAATGACAATATTGTTTATACATATTTGGTTACATGTAATTCATTTGTAAACAAAGTACTTTGTTCGGTAATGATCCAAAAGTAGTTTATTTTTATAAGTATACTCAAGTCTTCTCTTGTTTTGTATTTGTACAAAAAAAAAAATTGTTTGTCACTTCATTTTTGTAATTTTCTATTTTTTTTCTAATATATATTCAAGTTTTTTTTTTATATAAAAAGCATATTTTAATTATTAGTTTTAAATTATAAATTTATACTAAAGGTTTTTTTGCATAATTCCGCTACTATAAATCATAAATTTATGATTCCGCTACTATAAATGAATTTAATTTTTGCATGATGAAGATAGTATAATATAGCATCAACATGAATCTAGTGTTGAATTTTTACTTTTTATTTTTATTGACGTGGGAATTCCCAGCAGTGCAGAATTTAGTGGTGAAATTAATTTTAGAACACATGGTGAATGCCTTGAAATATAATAAATTTTTATCATATTAATTAAATAGTGCAAATTAAAATATTAAAATTCAACATATATTCCGGTGATTAATTTTAACACATCATCCATGCTCGAGTAGCATAATCTCATTTTTCTTAAGACTATTCATAGGTAAACCAAACCCTAAGTACGTGGTTATAATATAATTAAATTATTCACCATTACAATAATGGCACGTGATAATAAGTAAGGTATCCGCGAATCCTGTCTTACAAATAGATATGTAAAACGAACCCCGTAAGGGATGACCTATGGCGTAGGGGTTAAATTTATGACCGTGAGGTCATGAGTTCAAACCCCCCGACGCTTCAGGTCACCTGTCACACATGGTTCGCCTAGTGTGACTTTCCCGTCGGGTCTTGTATGAGTTTACACATGGTTCGTCTAGTATGAGTTTCTAAATAAATATATCTTTTTGAATTTTTATAATAAATTAAAAAAATAACAATATTTTTATTAATTAATGAAAGTGTAAAATAATTTTGATATTTTTATTCTTTATATTTATATATGTATAATGATATATTTTTAATTTATATAAAAATTAATGAGTATTTTTAATAGTGGGTGATATTTGCTTTTTGCACGTAAATTTTTTAATATTATTAT